GGTGGGGGTGGAGAACCCGCGACCCACCCGCGACCCAAACCACGTTCACTGAACAAACCAATGCCGCACAAGCGCGGCGGCGGATTTTTGCATGCCGTCTGAGCCCGCAACGACCTCTTCAAGCCCCGCGCATCCACACCAGCCCGTCCAGCAACTTTACCCTGGCGAGTTGCCTTGGTCTGAGAAGCCGGGGAGCATAAGGTGGAAAAAAGGATTGCGTTGCCGTTATCTTGGGAAAGGAGGGGGAGGCAGGAGGAGTAAAAAGGGGACGAGGGGGACGCGGAAGAAGGGAGGATGTAAGGAGAATGTGGAGAAAGAGGAGGAGGAGGAGGAGGAGGAGGAGGAGGACGAGAACGAGGAGGGGGAGGAGGGGGAGGAGGGGGAGGAGGAGGACGAGGAGGGGGGGAAGGGGGAGGAGGGGGAGGAGGGGGAGGAGGATGATGATGGACGACAATGGGAGGACGATGATGGAGGCCGATGAGGGGGAGGACGACAATGGGAGGACGATGATGGAAGGACGAGGGGGGGGGAGGGAGGACGAGGAAGAAGAGGAGGACGAGGTGGAGGAGGAGGATGACGATGACGATGAGGACGAGGACGAGGACGAGGAAGAGGATGAGGATGAGGATGAGGAGGAGGAGGAGGAGGAGGAGGAGGAGGAGGGCGCCATCGACAGGGAAGGTGGGGGCCACGATGTCCGCCGGCTCGACGACGCCCGCGTCGCCCGCGCCCGCCCCCTCACTCTTATCCGCAATTGCGGGGTGCTACGTAGCCCTATAGCCCTATAGCCCTAAAAAGATGATGATTGGGTTTTCATTCCTTCTGAATCCGCCACCGTGCCTGCTGGCACGTTGGGGCGTGCTAGAATGCCAACTGCTATCTGATTGAGTTTTTGTAGCTTTCTCGGGGCCCAGCAACATGCACCGCCACCTCTTCCCGAAGCAACACTCCCTAACAAAATTCGATTCGTGCGCGTTCCCGAGACCCCGATGCCTTCAAGACGGCCCCATACCGCACCAAGACGACCCACTTCGGCCTCAAGACGGCCCAAGATGGCTTCAAGACGGCCCACGAGGCCTTCGAAGCGTCCCAAGAGAGCCCAGCAGCCTTCCCAGGAGGGCCCCAGGAGGCAAAAACAATAAATTGTCCTTCGACACTCCATGTTCTTAGAATGTTCGCCGTTTCGAATTTCCGGCGCTCCACAACGGCCCAAGAGGCCTCCAAGGCTGCACCGAAACGGCCCACGAGGCCCTCAAAAGGGCCCCATGACGGCCCAAGAGAGCTCCCAGACATCCCAAAGGGCGCCGAAGACGACCCAAGAGGGCCCCAATACAGCCCCAAGAGGAGCCCAAGAGTAGAAACGCGAACCGACAATTCGAGCGTTCTGCCCTACGAGGCCCACAGGTCAGAAGCCTTGCGCCAAACGGCGCGCGAGCAGGGTGAAACAAGAAGACTGCGCCCACGAAGGGGGCCCTCGGCACGCGGTCCGAAACAGACTCTGCAAAGCACGTCCGGCTAAGATGCGTCCGAGGAGGAGGAGGAGGAGGAGGAGGAGAAGGAGGAGGAGGAGGAGGGGGATGAGGAGAGGAAGGACCGAGGAGGGGGAGGGGAAGGCGGACACGATGCGTCAATCGTGCCATGATCTGACAACTGCCTCACACGCTGCAGCTGCACTGGCCTCTGGCCAGCATAAGGCAGCCAGGCAGGCGAGGGAGCCAGCGGCCTTCATGCAACGATTCACCACCATGCTGCCCACATCTGTCGGGGACGTCCACGATTGAGAGTCCCTGTCGGCATTCGGAGTTCGACGCGGCCAAGCTGGAGGGCGGAGTTGCGCACCAGGTCGTTATCAGGGAGCCTCGCGAGCTTCCCTAAAAATACAATCTGCCGTTGTGCAACAGCTTCGCTGAGCGGCATGTCTCGAGCTGCGTTCAAGACGGCGCTGTTAGACACGCGGCTATAATATGAGGCCTATATTCAACATATGCTCCTCAAGCGCTGGACCTGGAAAGCGTCGAATATGTCGCGCTCTGACTGGCTTCAACAACCAGCAAAAATACAATAGCATAGCTTCGAGACCACACACGCCTTGAAAATTTCCACCTCCCTCTGCCTAGACAGAGCTGCTCGGAACCGAATCCGAGGCGCTTCGCTGCGCCTATTCTCCTGCTCAGCTCGGAACCGCAGCGGCCCTCGGCCGAAAGCTGGGTCCCCAGGCACACCATCGCCTCCTTTACTCTCAAGGGGCCCAGAGGAGGCTCCCACGAGGCCCAAAAACGGCCCGCGAGAGGCCAAAGAGAGGCCCCAAGACAGCCCAGATGAGGCCCACGAGGGCTCTTCAAGAACTGAAGACGAGAGGTGTAACATGTGACGGCGGGCCTCGTCCTCCTTGTCCTTCTCCTTCTCATCCTCCTCCTCCTCCTCAACCTCCTCTTCCTCCTCCTCGTCCTCCTCCTCCTCCTCCTCCTCCTCCTCAACTCCTCCTCCTCCTCCTCCTCCTCCTCCTCCTCCTCCTCCTCCTCCTCCTCCTCCTCCTCCCACCCCTCTCCTCCTCCCCCTCCCTCCCTCCTCCTCCTCCTCCTCCTCCTCCTCCTCCTCGTCCTCCTCCTCCTCCTCCTCCTCCTCCTCCTCCTCCTAATCCTCGTCCTCCATCCCTCTTCCATATCAGCAACTCCTCCCTGTCGCACCCAAAGACGGGACGATAGGACGTGCCGGTCATGTCGCCTGAGACCTCCTCACCAGGTATGTTCCTGCAGCTTGAAGTTCTTATCAGTTTCACGCATGAATGGCGGGGATCGTTTTCAAAATGTGGCTCTCGCCTTAGAGCCGCGCACATTCGTCTCAAAAGTTTGCAAAGGGTTCACGGGTTGAGGGCAGGTCGTTACCAAAATGTGGCTCTCGCCTGAGCGCCGCGTACATTCGTCTATTAAGTTTGCAGGGGGGTCACGGGTGAAGGGCGCGTCGTGTTCGAAATGTGGCTCTCGCCTTCGTGCCTTTGCACACTCGCCATAAAGGTTTGCAGGAGCTTGACGGTTGGAGGGCGGGTCGTTTTCAAAATGCAGCTCTCGCCTTAGCGCCACGCACATTCGTTCTAAAAGTTTGTAAGACTTTAACGCGTGGAGGGCGGCTCCTTGTCAACATGTGGCTATCGCCTCAGCGCCGCGCACATGCTTCTTGAAGTTTGCAGCAAGTTCATCCTCCTCATCCTCCTCCCTTTCAAAATGTGACTCTGGCATTAGGGCCGCAAAAATTCGTCTTCCAGGTTTACAGCAGTCTCAAAGAGTCTTATGGATGACGTCTCAGAAATGGTGTTCTGGCACGACTTAGGATAGCCATATCGCACCAGCAACGTTCATTCGCGGCGTTGAATTATCCGGACTGGTGCTCTCGGACGGTTGAAGATTTTCAGACGGTTGTCTTCCCGCGGGGCTCTTCCAACTGTGAAAATACATCCTTACATGAGCCTATGCAGAGGGAACTTAGAGGGCGGAATTATTGCAACATCGTTGATGGGTCTGTGGTTCACACTGGTTCTCCTCCTCTTCCTCCTCATCATCTTCATTCGTTTCCTCTTCCCAATCCTCCATCTCATCATCGTCATCATCAGCATCATCATCGTCCTCATCATCATCAGCAGCATCATCATCAGCATCATCATCGCAACAAGCATCATCATGACCATCCTCATCATCATCAATATCATCATCGTCATCATCATCAGCAGCAGCATCATCATCAGCAGCAGCATCATCAGCATCATCAGCATCATCATCATAGTCTTCATGTTCATCCTCATCAGCAGCAGCAATAGCATCATCAACATCATCCTAGACCACCGAGAACGCTGGGCCGGCACGGTGGCGGGACTTGTCGCAGGCAACTGGGGAAATGACTCCTCCCTGTCGGACCCCCAGACGTGTCGGTAGGGCGGGAAGGGCGCTTCGCCTGAGATTACTCAGGACATTGGAATGTGCTCGAAATTTGCATTGGAATTGAAGCAGCCTCATGATCCTGAAGATTGGAATTTGCAGCAGTTTCAAAGACGGCGGGCGGGTCGTTTTCAAGATGGAGCTCTCGCCGCAGCGCCATACGAATTCGTCCGGAAAGTGTGCAGCAGCTTCCAAGACGGAGGGCGGGCCGTTTTCAAAACGGGCCTCTCGTCTTGAGCGCCGCGCGCACTCGCATGCAAAGCTGGCAGCAGCTTCAGGGACCAGGAGGCCTCCCAGATGGCCGCAGGACGGCCCGGAAGGCCCTGCAGGGGCCCAGAGAGGCCTCCAAGACGCCCAAGATGCGCTCCAGAGGGGCTCCCAAGACGGAGGGCGGCTCCTTTTCAAAACGTGGCCATCGCCGCAGCGCCGCGCCCACTCGCCCCAAAGGTTGGCAGCAGATGCAAGGACAGAGGGCGGCCTCCTGCTTCAAACCGTGGCTGCCGCCTCGGCGCCGCGCATACCTCTTCTCGAAGCGTGCAGCAGCTTCAGGGATTCGCATGGCTGGGGTCACAGGAATGGTGCCCTGGCACGGCTCAGGATTGCCAGGACGCAGGGATATCGACGATTCGCGGTGCTGCAGACCCAGCAGTGGCGTCCTGGCACGGCTCGGGCTTGTCGGGACGCAACAGCCACGTTCAGGTCGCGGCGACAAGTCCCAGGAGTGGCGCTCTGGGACGGTTGAAAATTCTCAGACTATTGTCTTCCAGTGCGGCACTCCCCGCAGTGAAAAAAAAACGTGTGGGGACAGATGAAGAGAAAGCTTGGATGGGGGGGGTACTGCAACATCGTTGATGCGCCTTGGGTTCGCACTGGTCCACCTCATCCTCCTCCTCCTCCTCCTCCTCCATTCCGCGCAGGCGAAGATGAGGTCGAGCCTACGACCCGCCTCAGTTCAGACCGCTCGCTGAACTGCAGCGGGGCGTGAACCCGATCGAAATGGCGCTGCCCCTGCGCTCAGCCTCCATCCTGCTGCGCTGCTCCACAGGCACGGCGGCGGGGCTTGCCGCAGGCAGCAGGACAACCTCGCCCCATTTCTGCGGCATCTCCCCCAGCATCGCCTGCAGCAGAGAGCTCTTCCCACTGCCCACCGCGCCCACCAGGGCGTGCAAGCGCCCCGGGTGCGCCACGAGGGAGATGTCGCGCAGAGCGAACCCGTTCTTCTCCTTCGCGGGGTCGCTCGCGCCCCCACACTCGCCCTCGCCCTTGCCCTTGCCTTTGCCCTTGCCCTTGCCCTTGCCCTTGCCAGTTGACAAGATGCCCTCCAGGAGGCCGCCCGAGCCTGCCGGTCCCCACTCGAAGGCGCCACCCGCCATCTCGAGGCGGCCCTCTGTGCCATCCCGCCTGGTCATGCCGCTGTTCTGCCCCACCTCCTCCAGCAGCAGGAACTTCTCGAGCCGCACAAACGTCGCCCTGAGCTCGGCCAGGCCCTTGATGGACATCGGCAGCATGCTGAGGGGCATGCGGATAAGGTTCAGCAGCTGCAGCGCCAGGAAGACCGTCGCCGGCGAGAACCGTGCTGGGTCAATGAGGAAGAAAGCCACCAGCATTCCCACCCCCATTAGGAGCGGCATGAGATACATCTGAGCGAACGCGATGGCATTCAGCCGCGCCATCCACAGGAGCTTGCTGACCTCATCGCTGCGCAGAGCCTTGACCAGGCCACCATACGCCTCGTCCCAGGCGTAGAACTTGAGCACACGGATACCCTGCAAGCCCTCGTTCACAGCCTTTGACCGCTTCTCTGCACAGTGCATCGCCGCGAACGTCGCCTTCATCTGCGCCAGGCCTATCTTCCCGGGCAGGGGCAGTGAGACAAAGAGGATCACAAGGCCAACGACAGCACCCACGCCCAGCTTCCAGACGAGGAGGCAGCAGACTGGAATGAGGAGCATCGGCGACAGCCAGAGCGAGTGCAGGCCGAGAATCGACTGCGGCAGACGCTCGCAGTCCGTGGACATGAGGGTCACCACCTGCCCCGTCGTGGTCTGGCCCCTGGCCCGATGGCTGAGCCGCATCGCCTTCCGGTAGATCAGCGAGTTGTACAGAGAGCGCACGTCCATGCCCAAGATGTAAAGCTGCATGATGGCGTGGTTGCTGGAGATCATGTTCCCCAGGAGTATGGAGGCGAGGCACCCACCGATGAGCAGCCACCCGACATACTGCTCCGCGGAGTCGTCCGCGAACCATATGACGAACTCCTCCCACGTGCACGAGCAATGTATATGTTCCCCAACCCTCCTTGGATAGGTATTCGTGTTGAATAGAGCACTGCGGTCGCGTCTCCTCCTCCCGCCTCCCGCCTCCCGCCTCCTGCCTCCCGCCTCCTGCCCCCCTCCTTCTTGTCTCTGCTTGCCTTGCCTGGGAGGCTGCGATCTGCGAAACTCTCGCCACTTTCGAGGGCTGCTGGTGGGTCCAGCGGAGTGAGGCACCGCGCGGATCTGAGCGGGACCTCCCCGTCCCTGGGGGGCTGCGATCTGCGAAACTGTCGCCACTTTCGAGGGCTGCTGGTGGGTCCAGCGGAGTGAGGCACCGCGCGGATCTGAGCGAGACCTCCACGTCCCTGAAGGGCTCCGATCTGCGAAACGGTCGCCACGTTCGAGGGCTGTTGGTGGGTCCAGCGGAGTGAGGCACCGCGCGGATCTGAGCGAGACCTCCCCGTCCATGAAGGGCTGCGATCTGCGAAAGTGTCGCCACGTTCGGGGGCTGCTGATGGGTCTGGCGGAGCGAGGCACCGCGCGGATCTGAGCGAGACCTCCCCGTCCCTGGGGGGCTGCGATCTGCGAAACGGTCGCCACGTTCGAGGGCTGCTGGTGGGTCCAGCGGAGTGAGGCACCGCGCGGATCTGAGCGAGACCTCCACGTCCCTGAAGGGCTCCGATCTGCGAAACGGTCGCCACGTTCGAGGGCTGTTGGTGGGTCCAGCGGAGTGAGGCACCGCGCGGATCTGAGCGAGACCTCCCCGTCCATGAAGGGCTGCGATCTGCGAAAGTGTCGCCACGTTCGGGGGCTGCTGATGGGTCTGGCGGAGCGAGGCACCGCGCGGATCTGAGCGAGACCTCCCCGTCCCTGGGGGGCTGCGATCTGCGAAACGGTCGCCACGTTCGAGGGCTGTTGGTGGGTCCAGCGGAGTGAGGCACCGCGCGGATCTGAGCGAGACCTCCCCGTCCCTGGGGGGCTGCGATCTGCGAACTCTCGCCACTTTCGAGGGCTGCTGGTAAGTCCGGCGAAGTAAGGCACCGCGCGGATCTGAGCGAGACCTCCCCGTCCCTGAAGGGCTGCGATCTGCGAAACGGTCGCCACGTTCGAGGGCTGTTGGTGGGCCAGCGGAGTGAGGCACCGCGCGGATCTGAGCGAGACCTCCCCGTCCCTGAAGGGCTGCGATCTGCGAAACGGTCGCCACGTTCGAGGGCTGTTGGTGGGTCCAGCGGAGTGAGGCACCGCGCAAACCTGAGCGAGAGCTTCCCGTCCCTGGGGGGCTGCGATCTGCGAAACTGTCGCCACTTTCGAGGGCTAATAGTGGGCTCGCCACTTTCGAAGGCTGCTGGTGGGTCCAGCGGAGTGAGGCACTGCGCAGACCTGAGCGGGACCTCGCCGTCCCTGGGGGGCCATGTCCTGTTGCTGCCCCGCCGACGTTTCAAGCCCCTTGCCCAACGTCTCCTTTCAGTCCTTGCGTCTTCCTTAGTGACTCATCGTTTTTCCCTTGACTGGGGACCTGCGAAACTTCCGAATGCCGCTCGCAGAAAGTACATGCGTCCAGGTCACGTCGCCACCTTCTCGCCAAATCTCCCAAGCTACTCCTACCCCGCATTGCGCAAGGATTGGGTACGTCGCCAGGGTAATTACGCTTCCTCCTCCTCCTCCTCTTCCTCCTCATCCTCCTCCTCCTGTTTCTCCTGCGCCTGCCCCTGCTCATCCAACTCGTTCTGCTGCGCCTCTGGCTCGTCCTCCCCATCCTCCTACACGGGTTGTACATTACTCTCACACTTGCTCCTCCGTCAAGAACGGGATGATCACCGAAATGAGCTGCTGCATGAACATGAGGAAGCCGGACCAGCCCCACGCAGGCAGGAACAGTTGACGGGTGACCTTTCCAAGGGGTGAGAAATATCATCATCTCGGCACATCATCACGTGGTCCACACCATCACAACACCAACATGATTACTCGCTCACGTGCTGTCGGCACGGCACGCTGGTGCGTACCCCATAAGAGACCGCGCGATGAGGCAAATCCTCCCCCCCACTCCCCTCTGGGAGAAGGACGGGGGGGAGACCCCCGAAGGACGGGGGGGAGACCCCCCCTCCCTGGAAACCCGGAGGAGGGAGGGGGAACGGGAGCCAGCGAGGGAAGGGGGACCTCGAACTGGTTCTAACCGAATCTTGCCACTAGGGCTGGATGCAGCTCTTACACAATCCACTCCTACCAGGGCTCGACCAAGCTCGAACAGAATCCTACACAGGCTAGACCTGGTTTTACATGCATTCCTACTAGTGTTGAATCCAGCTCTAAGGTAGTTCTACAAAGGCTGGGTCCACCTCTAATCGAATCCTGCTACTAGGACTGGTTCCAACCCTAATAGAAACTTATTAAGGCTAGATCCAGCTATGATAAAATCCTACTACGGTCCGATCCAGCTCTACTGGAATCCTACAAAGACTGGATCCAATTCGGATCGAATCCTCCTACTGGGTTGCATCCATCTCTCATAGAACCCCTACTAGGACCCGATCCAAAGTCAAAAAGATTCCTACGATGGGCTGGATACAGCGCATAGGAGCGCACGAGTGCTCAACTCAATTCGAATTAAATTCTACGGTCTGCATGCAGCTCTAATAGAACCCTAGCAAAACTCGACGCCTTAACACAACCCAAATAAGGCTCGACCCACCCATACTATAAATCATACACGGGCTAGGCCCAGCTCTAACACCTTACTTCTAAGGCTGGATCCAACTGTATTGGAAGCCCTTCTCCCCCTTCCTTGTCTGAACCGCGGGGGGGAACCTCTCAACCCCGCCCCCCCCCATCCCCCCAGTTCGAATCGGGTGCGGGATCCGCCCCCGCCCCCTGGCCCCGCCGGTTCAGAGGGAGCGGGAGGCTGTTTTAGCACCCCCCCCCTGGTTCGAACCAGGGGGGGGGCCTTGCGAGCAGCGGCAGAAGACACTCTTCCGGCCGCCCCCAATTTACTATTTCTGTTTTCGGCATAAAAAACGCCCCTTTTTTCCTCAAAAAAAAGCCTCATTGGGCCCTCTTGGATCGCTTCGGGTGGTTCTTGGCACCCTCTGAACCATACGCAACCGAAAGATTGATGAGGCCATGAATCTAGAGAGAACCTGAAATATGTTGACGACTTCGGCTGTTTGGGGCCTCTCTTACAGTGTCGTGGAGCCTCTCATGGAGCCTCTAATGGGCCTCCTCGAAGTTCCCTGGGCCATCTCAGAGCCTACTTGGGCCACTTTGGAAGTTTGTTGCGCCCTCTTGGTCTCTGATATGGTGATTTCCTGGGCCCCCGAGCACGCGACTGGCGCCAGACAGGTGAACGGACACGAGGCTGGCGCGCGGCAGGTGTACGACCACGCTACTGGCACCCGACGGGTGAGACAGCACGCGACTGGCGCCCGACAGGTCAATCCTGAATTCTAGAATAATTTCTGGCATTCTAGAACTCACTTCGTCGATCTAGAACTGTTTTGGCCGTTCTGGAAGTTGTTTTTGTATGCGCTTTATACTGTGCGAAAATCCGCCGGCCCCCTTGTGGGGCCACCAGGCTGTAGGCCCGTGGCTCGCAGTTTCCTGTACCAGTCGTAGGTTGTAGTTTCCAGTGTTACAGTTCTGCTTCTTGCTGGTTACTTTAACTAGTTGACTTATTGTTGGTTACTGTAACTAGTTGATTGACCGCGCGAGGGGGGGGGAGGCCCAAAGTGGCTTGTTAGCGTCCCCTGGGCGCGTTGTCTGAATTGCTGGGGGGGCTCGAAATCGACACCCCTCACGCAGATCCGCGGGGTCAGGGTCCAAAAACACAGGGGATTTGCCACATGTCTGAAATTCGGTGCCACCCCTTACGCAGATCCGCGGGGTCAGGGTCCAAAAACACATTGGATTTGCCACATTTCTGAAATTCGGTGCCACCCCTCACGCAGATCCGCGGGGTCAGGGTCCAAAAACACAGGGGATTTGCCACATTTCTGAAATTCGGTGCCACCCCTCACGCAGATCCGCGGGGTCAGGGTCCAAAAACACATTGGATTTGCCACATTTCTGAAATTCGGTGCCACCCCTCACGCAGATCCGCGGGGTCAGGGTCCAAAAACACATGGGATTTGCCACATTTCTGAAATTCGGTGCCACCCCTCACGCAGATCCGCGGGGTCAGGGTCCAAAAACACATGGGATTTGCCACATTTCTGAAATTCGGTGCCACCCCTCACGCAGATCCGCGGGGTCAGGGTCCAAAAACACAGGGATTTGCCACATTTCTGAAATTCGGTGCCACCCCTCACGCAGATCCGCGGGGTCAGGGTCCAAAAACACAGGGATTTGCCACATTTCTGAAATTCGGCGCCACCCCTTACGCAGATCCGCGGGGTCAGGGTCCAAAAACACAGGGGATTTGCCACATTTCTGAAATTCGGTGCCACCCTTCACGCACATCCATCGCAAGGCGTGGCAACCCAAACTGCGAGAACTCCCTCGGCCCTTTAATCGCAAGGTGTGGTAACCAAGCCCGTAAACCATACACGTCTTACCAATCGCCAGGTGTGGTAACCCCTCTTGTGATCAGTTGGTTTTGCTGATTGCGAATCGGCTTCGCATGAAGTTTCGATACTGCTTCACGACAGCGCCAAGGCCTCATGACTTAGCTCTTCCATGGCCCATTCTCCGAGAGAGGGGACCGGCGGCAGGGGGCGAAGCCCTTACGGATCTAAAATTTGGGTTCTGCGTTCTAGGATTACTGTTGCTGCTCTAGAATTCGCTTTGCAATTCTAAAATTTAGTTTTCCGTTCTAGACTTCGCTTTGCTTTTCTAAAACCGCATCCGGCCGTTTGGCAAGAAACGCGTGGGAAAAACGGCGGGGGTCGGAATCGGGGGACCATCGCGGGGCGGCGGGGGTGGTCCCGAGTGGAGCCCCGAGTGGGCTTCGGAAGAAGGTATGCGCACGTTTGCGGGGCCAGAAGGTGAAGATCAGGATTCGCCCAAAGCAATTCCCGGCCAGAGTCAAATACAGCGTGACGACCCGAAAGAAGCGGATCAGAACATCAGCTCAACCTGGCCAGCTCGGTTCCGAATCGAAGGGCCGGACTCAAACTACTCAACTCTCAAGGGGCCTCGAAGGGGGGAAGCGAGAAAGAGAAGCCCTTCTCAGAAGGCTCGGAAGCCCCCCAAGCCTTCTGAGAAGTTGTCCTAGCCTTCCCCGAAGACACAGAAAACCTCTGAGAAGGGCGCGAGGGCGTCTGAGACCGCCGCCTTCTGAGAAGGTCCTCTCTGGAACAAGAAACAATACAACGAACAAAAACTGTGGGCGCTCCGCGCGAGTTTCTCGGATCGGCGCTGGACCCCCCTCCCTGGCGCGCGGAGTGCGCAAGGGGCGGCGCCGGAGGCGCCGCCGGGGGGGGGGGGCCGGCGTGGATCCGAGTATCCCGCGCGGAGCGCCCAAAGTTTATGTTTGTGCCGCTTGTTCCTACTCGATTATCCTTCTAATTTCCCCGCCTCGCTCGCCGCCGATTTTGAGGGGGGCCAGACACAGCTGGACCGACAACGTTGACAACGAAGTCGACCCAACCAGCACGTTGAAGTCATGACGAACTACGACTGCCCAGCACGTCGCCATCATGACGCCGTCGGCCAGGAGACACCACGCGAAGAACAGCGAGGCACGCCCGCAAACATCCAGCACGGCGCGCCGTAGGTGGTGTGGGGTCGTGCGTTTCTTGGTCGAGCAGCCCCGAGAGCGCCCACGACCGTCCTCGGCCCAGCCGCCGCGCCGCCAGCCCATCGGCGCGGGCGGGCGGCGAAGCACGGTGAGCGCCCTGGGTGCTGCAGCGTGGCGGCCCGCGGTGGCGCAGGTCGCGCGGGGAACCCCAGAGGCGGAGTGCCCGCACCGTGGGGGCGGGCCGTGTCTCCGAGTAGGCTTCTTAGGGGGATTTTGGACGACAAAATGAAAAATGCCCAGCACAAATTCAAAACAGACTCACACATAGTCAAAAAATCGTTCCCATACTGTTTTGATTTTTGTTCTGCTTATTCCTCCTGTCGAGGGACAGGTCCGACTTACGAGTAGGGGCTGGGAGCGCGGCACGGGAGACAGTTCCACGTCGGTCGGAGGAAGCAGGCGACGACATCAAGCGAGAAGGCGGACGAAGCAGGTCGGGTCCGGGCCCTCCCGGAGAAGAGCAGAGCTCGGCACAGGCACAGCACATCGATTGCTGAAGCAGGAGGGCGCTGGAAGCAGATTGGGGTACGGGCATCCAAGAATACCTACTTTCAATGACCAACGGCAAGCGCCAAGTGAGGGCACGAGCTGCACGGGACGCGGACGCGACGGCGTCTGGCATCGGGGGAGCAGCCTGCCTCCTTTGGCGTGCTTGCGTCGGGGAGTGCCAGAGGCCGCTCTCAGGGGGTCTGCGTGGGTGCTCCGAGACCACGCGCACAGGTCCAGAAGCCATCAGGGCCCCCCTCCTCCCCGTGCTCCCTTCCCCACTCCTCCCTCTTCCACACCTCCTCCTCCTCCTTCTCCCCCTCCTCCTCCTCCTCCTCCTCCTCCTCCTCCTCCTCCTCGTCCTTCTCCTCCTCCTCCTCCTCCACCTCCTTCGCATCCTCCTCCTCCTCCTTTTCCCCACTCCTGCCCACTCCGATACACTTCCTCCTCCTCCTCCTCCTCCTCCTCCTCCTCCTCCTTCTCTCCTCCTCCTCCTCCTCCTCCTCCCCCCTCCTCCTCCTCCTCCTCCTCCTCCTCCCCTCCTCCACTTCCGCCTCCTCCTCCGTCCTCCTGTCCCCCCTCCCGCTGGGATTTGCCTGCCGCGGCGGCAGCGCCATGGGCTCCTGGGACACGCGAGCCTGCCCGCTCACCGGTCCCCAACGCCCGATGCAGCTGTGGCAAGCGGTTGGCCGCCAGCCTCCTCCTCCTCCCCCTCCTCCTCCTCCCCCTCCTCCTCCTCCTCCGCCTCCTCCTCCTCCTCCTCCTGCCTCTCCCACTTACGGTAGTGGTGGTGGAATAGGGGCTCACCAGTCCCAACGCCCGGTGAAACCTTGGACAAGTAGGTGTGGTTCTTCTTCTCCTGCACGACGCAGGGAAGGCAAGAGGGACTAACGGACTCGACCCTCCTCTCGCCATTCTCGTCCTGCACTCCCGTCCTCCCGTCACCGACAGGAGAGAGGGGGAGAGAAAGAGAGAGAGCCAGACGGACAGACAGAGAGACAGGCACACAGACAGACAGACAGGCAGGCAGGCAGGCAGGCAGGCAGGCAGGCAGACAGCCAGACAGACAGACAGACGAACAGTCAGAGATAGAGACAGAGATAGAGGCAGAGGCAGAGACAGAGACAGAGTGAGAGAGAGATAACATGAAGGATGCGGGGAGGCAAGGTGGACGAGCGACGATCGACCCCCAGACCTCTCCTGGAGCGCGCTCTGACCAAGATGCCGACGTGGACTCAGCCGTGGCGAAAATGGCGCCACCGGAAGCACAAACAAAAAAGCGTGGCGGGGGGCGCAGTGCGCGCCGCGGGAGGGGTCGATGGAGTCAGGGCTCCACAGTTGGGCCCGATCCGCGCGAGAGGCGACGCGACATCGGCGGGAGCACGCAGTGCGAAACCTTCCTCTCTGACTACTCCAGATTTCGTAATAAAGGGAGGGGGGTCTCATTTCGGGGGGGGTCTCTTCCAGGCTATCTTGGAGGGCCTGGGGGGGTCTGGGGACGATGTTTGGGAGGGTTCTCCCACGGGGGGGGGGTCTGAAATGGCTTGTCTTGGAGGGTCCAGACCCCCTCCCTTTTCTTACAAAATCTGGAGTACAGGTGGAGCTCTCTGTGGGGCAAGATCCGCGTGAGCGGTGTGCCGACGCCCGCGGGAGGAGGAGGCTCTGCGGGCGCCCCCCTTCTCGGGGCCGCAGGCGGCGCCCCGAGCGCGCGGGGTGCGCCAGCCTCGGAGAGGGGGCGACGTCGGGCGGGCGCCCCTCGGCCTGGGGCCGGAGGTGGATCGCCGCGCGGGGCAGGATCCGAGCGAGGGATGTGCCCACCGCGGGCGTGGCGGCGCCACGCGGGGCGCCCTCGGCGGGGCCGCAGGTGGAGCTCCCGGAGGGGCGGGGTCCGCGTAGAGGGGTGGGGGTGGGGGCCGACGGCGGCGTGGCGGCGCCGTGTGGGCGTCGCCTGCCTGGGGCCGTGGAGCTCCATCTGGAGCGTGGAGCTCCATCTGGAGCGTGGAGCGTGCGACAGGTCTGCTGGAATGGGCGAGGGCGAGAGGGATGAGGAGGATGAGGAGGAGGAGGAGGAGGAGGAAGGAGGGAGGAGGAAGGAGGAAGGAGGAAGGAGGAAGGAGGAAGAGGGAGGGAGGAGGAGGAGGAGGAGGAGGAAGAGGAGGAGGAGGAAGAGGAGGAGGCGAAGAGGAGAAGGATGAGGAGGAGGAGGTGGCAGCTCCTGAAGGATCTAATGTCACCAGCGGAAAGCTGAAAGAGGAGGAGGAGTAGGCTAAAACCACCAGCAGAAAGCTGAGAGAGGAGGAGGAGAGGAAGGAGGAGGAGGATAACGAAGGAGGCAACACGCGGCGCGAGAGAGAGAGAGAGAGAGACGGCGGGGACCCAACACCACAGGAGAGTTGGAAAGAAGAGACAGGACGGGGATGGGGAAGGCGAGGAGGGGAGGAGGAGTTGCGCAGAGCTGCGGAAACAAAGCGAAGACCCCACAACATAGGAGGGTTGGGAGGAGCATCAAAACAAACATACAAACAAACGAACAAACGATAAGCTCGACGGCGACGACAGCGACGGCTGCGGCGGCGACGACGAGGGTGCCCATGTCGACGAGAACGACGACGACGACGACGAAGACGACGACGAAGACGACGAAGACGACGAAGACGACGACGACGACGACGACGACGACGTCGAGGATGCCTGCATCGACGACATCGATGACCAGGGCGACGGTCACGCCACCCTCCTAACACCACGGTCGCCTAAGGCCGCCGAAGGGTCGCCGAAGGCCGCCAGATGCCGCCAGATGCCCCGAAAAAGGCCGTCGAAAGCCGACGTAATCATCAGAATCAGCATCATAATCAGCATCATCAACATCATCATCATCATCATCATCATCAGCAGCAGCATCATCATCATCATCATCATCATCATCATCATCATCATCATCATCATCATCATCATCAGCATCAACATCATCATCAGCATCATCATCAGCATCATCATCATCAGCATCAGCATCAGCAGCATCATCACCATGATCATCGTAATCAGCATCAGCATTATCATTTGCATCAACAGCATGACCAGCATCATCAGCAGCATCATCACCATCATCGTGATCAGCATCATCATCATCATCATCATCATCAGCATCGTCGGCATCAGCATCATCACCATCATCATCATCATCATCATCGTCGTCGTCGTCGTCAACCACATTCTCACCATTACCATCATCATCAGCAGCAGCATCATCAGCATCAGCATCAGCATCAGCATCAGCATTAGCATCATCATCATCATCATCATCAGCATCGTCATCATCAGCATCGTCATCACCATCATCATCATCATCGCCATCACCATCACCATCACCGTCACCATCACCACCTCCCTGATCATCATAATTAGCACCAGCAGTCTCATCATCAACAACATCAGCATCACCATCGGCATCATCATCATCATTTGCATCAACAGCATGACCAGCATCATCAGCAGCATCATGATCACCATCATCATCATCAGCAGCGTCATCATCCTCATCATCATCATCATCCTAATCCGCAGCGTCGTCGTCATCACCATCATCATCATAATCAGCATCATTATCACCACCACCACCATCATCATCATCAGCATCATCATCAGCATCATCATCATCCGCATCCTACTCCTCCATCTTCTCGTCCTCCTCCTCCTCCTCCTCATCCTCATCCTCGTCCTCGTCCTCCTCATCCTCCTCCTCATCATCCTTCTCCTCCTCCTCCTCCTCCTCCTCCTCATCCTCCTCATCGTCCTCCTTCTCCCCCATCCCAGTGCCTTACAACTAAATTCCCCTTGTCGCACCCCGAAGCCAGTTCTTAGGGCGGGCAGGGCGTGTTGCCTGAGAGTCCCTCACCAATCATGACCCTGAAACTTACAACATGACAGCACTTTCACAAATGGAAGATGGGTGGCGTTCCAAATGTGGCTCTCGCCTTAGCGCCGCGTACATTCGTTCTCAAGAGTTGCGAGGGCTTCACAGACTGAAGGCGGGACGTGTTCAAGATGTGGCCCTCGTGCTTAGCGCCGCGCACCTTCGTTTTACCAAATGTGTAAGAGCTTTACGGATTAAGGGTGGGTCGTGTTCGAAATGTGGCTCTCGCCTAAGCGTCGCGCCTATTCGTTTTCCACCATTCGCAAGAGTGTCACGGATTAAGGACGGGTCGCGTTCAAAAGGTGGCTCTCGCCTTAAATTGCAAGAGCGTCGCGGATTACGGGCGGGTCGTTTTCAAAATGTGACTCTCGCCGTATCGCCGCGCGCATTCGCTGCAAGTACAAAATTGCAAGAGATTCACGGATTAAGGGCGGTTCCTCTTCAAAACGTGGCTATCGCCTTAGCACCACGAACATTGATTTTACAAAATGACAAGAGTTTCACGGCTTCCCATCATCAACGTACAAGAAACTGCGTTTGGGAAAGATTCGGGAATATGAGGATGCAACAGTTTCCATGATTCGCGGTGTTGAAGTCCCAGGAATGGCGTCCTGGCACGAGTCAGGATCGTCAAGACGCAACAATCATGTTGATCCGTGGCGTTGGAGTCCCGACAATAATGTTTTGGCATGCTTCAGGGTCTTCAAACGGTTGTCGTCCAACAAGGCAGTTCCGTGGCCTATGGAGAGGGAGCTTGGAGGGAGGGTGTGATCCAACTTCGTTGATGACTCTTTGGATTATACTGGTCCTCCTCCTTGTCCTCCTCCGCAAGAGGGGGCGGTCGCGGATGTCCGCGGCCACAGTACAAGTATGTTTGCGATGTCCTTACAATCTGGCGTTGGTACTGGGCCAATCCTCAGACAGGCTGTATCCAGGCGGTGGCTGGCGAAGGACCCGGGACCATGACCCAGACGCCCAGAGGGCCCCCTGAGTGACGGGGGTGGGGACCCACTCGGGTGCCCTTGGGCTTCTCATTGAGGGGAGGGAAGCAGGGAGAGAAAGACGGGAGGAGGAGGAGGAGGAGGAGGAGGAGGAGGAGGAGGAGGAGGAGGAGGAGGAGGAGGAGGAGGAGGAGGAGGAGGAGGAGGAGGAGGAGGAGGAGGAGGAGAGGAGGAGGAGAGGAGGAGGAGGAGGAGGAGGAGGAGGAGGAGGAGAGGAGGAGGAGGAGGAGGAGGAGGAGGAGGGAGGAGGAGGAGGAGGAGGAGGAGGAGAGGAGGAGGAGGAGGGAAGAGAGGAGGAGGAGGAGGAGAGGAGAGGGGAGGAGGAGAGGACGGGAGCAGGAGGGAGGGAGGAGGAGGAGAAGCGAGGAGGAGGAGGAGGGAGGGAGGGAGGGAGGAGGGAGGAGGAGGAGGGGAGGAGGGAGGGAGGAGGGAGGGGGAGGAGAGGAGGAGGAGGGAGGAGGGGGACGACGACGACGCGGAGGACGAGGACGGGACGGAGGGAGGGAAGGAGGGAGGAGAGGAGGGGAGGAGGAGGAGGAGGAGAAGGAGGGGGAGAACGAGGACGAGGACGAGGACGACGAAGAGGAGGGAGGAGGTCTCCTTCTCGTCGCGGCCCTCGGGGCGCCAGACCGCGTCGAAGCGCGCCAGGAGCGGCGCGACCCTGCTGGCCCCCGGCACCTGCGGGGTTTTTGTTGCCGGGGGTGGTGGCCGTCACCCCCCGCCGCCGAGAGAGGCGGGGGGAGAACAGGAGGACCTGGGAGGGAGCAGAAGGAGGGCGAGGAGAATGAGAGGGGAAGGAGGACGAGGAGGAGGAGGAGGAGGAGGAGGAGGAGGAGGCGGGGGAGAGAAGGAGGGAGGGAGGGAGGAGGGGGGGAAGGGGAGGAGAAGGACGGGAGCGAGGAGTGCAAAGCGAGGAAAGGGGGGCGAAGAGCGGGGAGCGAGGAGCGAGAAGCGGGGAGGACGAGTCGAGGCAGGAGGACGAGAAGAAGGAGAGGCAGGCGGAAGCAGAGGGAGGGAAAAGGAAGGGGAAGGGGCAAGCAGAAAAGAGGACCCCACGAGAGCCCAAGATGGCCGCAAGATGCCTCCAAGACGACCCCAGATGCAGCCAAGACGGCATACCAATGGCCTCAAGATGGCCCGACGGAGGCAAAATCATTGATTGTCCGTATGCGTGTGCAGGATTTGGGCGTTTGCTTGAAAACGGCCCTCCGACGGCCCAAGAGGGCCCAAGAGGCCCCCCAAGGGTGCCCCGAGATCGCCCAAGAGGCGTCAGCGACGGCGAGGTAGGCTCCCAAGACGGCCCACAAAGGGCCCCGAGACGGCCCAAGAGGCCTCCAAGACGCCCAAGATGACCTACAAAGCGAACCTGAAGCGCCCCAAGACGGTCCCAAAGCGGCCCAGAGAGGCTCCCAAGACGACTTCCGACGGCGTCGGACGGGCCACGAGCACCGTGAGCCTGCCAAAGCGGCCTCCAAAGCCCCCACAGGCCCCCAAGAGGCCTGCTAGAGGCCACCAGGGAGCTCCCAGGAGGCCCCAAGAATGACCCAACAGGCTCCCAAGAGGTCTCCTCGTCCCTCTCCTCATCCTTTTCCTCCCTCTCCTCATCCTCCTTTTCCTCCCCCACGTGTTCCTGGAAGGGCTTCCACAACGGCTGGGGGAACGCATGGTCCAATAGCGTGGCTACTATGTTTCCCCCAACGTCTGGCCACCTACGCATATCCTAAACGGCAGGGGGCGACGGCAATTCGCCGTAGGCTTCTTCGATTGGTGGCACGGTGCCGTGTCTCTTCTCCATTCTCAAAGGGCTCTTCCAGCCGTCCTCAGACAACCATCGGCCTGCCCCCATGCGCTCCTCGGCGCCACCGCGGCCTTCCCCAGGCCTCCGCTTCCCCAGGGCCGGCGGAACCAGCCGCGAGCTCTCTCCAGCATCAAGCCTCGGGGTCAGGCGGAGAAACGCTCGGCCCGCCCTACCGACGCATCTCGGGGCCAAACGGGAAAGAAGTTGCACGCAAGGGAAAAGACTGGAGGAGGAGGAGGAGGAGGAGGAGGAGGCGGAGGAGGAGCAGGAGAGGAGGATGATGATGATGATGATGAGGAGGAGGAGGAGGAGGAAGAGGAGGAGGAGGAGGAGGAGGAGGAGGAGGAGGAGGAGGGGAGGATGGAGGAGGAGGAGGATGAGGAGGAGGAGGCGGAGGAGGAGCAGGAAAGGAAAAGGAGAGATCAAGGCGCCAGGGGGGGCCTAGCTGGATAAACCTAGAGAAAATCGGTCAATTGGGGGTGATGAGGGCCAATTCACTCAAGATCGGTCCCGAAACTCCCCGGGTGCGACACTGACAAGTTTTCAGAGCCGCGTCCAGCCGTGGCGGCGAGGGGGCCCCTATCTCCCCCCATTCTGCTGGCCAGAACCAATGCTGGTCCGCCTCAGCCCCCCAGCCAGCTCCAAGAGGAGGCTATGATTTCTGAGCCCGTGAGCCTCAACAAGATGCTCGTCCTCCACCGGCCCCTGGCCCGACGTGCTCACGAGCCTGCCGACCCACAGGAAGAAGAGCCAGGACAAGAAGCCAGGATTCTCCTGGAACGGGGGGAGGAGGAGGACGACGAGGAGGACGACGACGAGGACAGGGAACAAAAAAAAAGCGCGAGGATGAGGAGGAGAGGAGGAGGAGGACGAGGAGGAGGAGGAGGAGGAGGAGAAGGAGGAGGAAGGGTGGGAAAGGCGGACGAAGAAGGGAGGAGAGGGGAAGGACGAAGGAGGACGAGGAGGAGAACGAGGAGCAGGAGGAGGAGGAGGACCAGCAAGGTCGCTACGCCCGCGGGCAGTCTGAGAGGGGAGGAGCAAGAAAAAAGATCCTCGTCGTCCTCCGCCTCCTTTGCCTCTTCACTTGCCCGTCCTCCTCCTCCTTCTCCTCCTCCTCCTCCTCCACCTCCTCAACCTCCTCCTCCTCCTCCTCCTCCACCTCCTCCTCCTCACCCTCATCCTCCTCCTCCTCCTCTCCTTTCCTCTCCTTCCTCCTCCTCCTCCTCCTCATCATCATCATCATCATCATCATATCATCATCATCATCATCATCATCATCAGCATCATCATCATCATCATCAGCATCATTCATCATCATCATCATTCATCATCATCATCACATCATCATCAGCATCATCATCCCATCATCATCATCCTCATTCTCATCCTCATCAGCATCCTCATCCTCATCCTCATCCTCATCTCATCCTCATCCTCCTCATCCACCACTGCTCCTCCTCCTCCTCCTCCTCCTTCCTCCTCATCCTCCTCCATCTCCTCCTCCTCCTCGTCCTCCACCTTTTCCATCTCCTCCTCCTCCTCCTTCTCCTCCTCCTTCTCCTCCTCCTCCTCATCCTCCTCCCTCCTCCTCCTCCTCCTCCTCCTCTCCCTCCTCCTCCCCCTTTTCTTCCACCTCCCATCATCATCCTCATCCTCCTCCTCCCCCCTCCTCCTCTCTCCTCCTCCTCCTCATCATCATCATCAGCAGCAGCAGCACCAGCATCAGCATCAGCATCATCATAACAATCAGTATATGTATCATCATTGTCATCATAATCGTCGTCCCAGTCCTCGGCATCATCATTATCATCATCGTCATCATCAGCATAATCATCATCGTCATCATCATCATCATCATCATCATCATCATCATCATCATCATCATCATCATCATCATCATCATGATCATCATTCATCATCATCATCATCATCATCATCATCATCATCAACATCATCAGCATCATCATCATCATCATCATCATCATCATCATCATCATCATCCTCCATCATCATCATCATCATCATCATCATCATCATCATCATCATCATCATCATAATAATCATCGTCAGCAGCATCAGCAGCAGCATCATCAGCAGCAGCATCATCATAAGCATCAGCAGCGTCATCATCAGCATCATCAACATCATCAGCAGCATCATCAGCATCATCGTCAGCAGCCGCATCATCAGCATGATCATTCTCAACATCATCATCATCATCATCATCATCATCATCACCATCATCATCATCATCATCATCATCATCATCATCATCATCATCATCATCATCGTCTGCATCAGCATCATCATCAGCAACAGCATCATCATCACAATCAGCAGCATCATCGTCATCATCATCCTCATCAGCATCAGCATCCTCAGCATTATCATCAGCATCGTCATCATCATCATCATCATCATAATCATCATCAGCAGCATCGTCGTCATCGTCAGACTCTTCATCATCATCATTATCATCATTATCAGTATCAGCATAAGTATCAGCATCATTATCATCATCAGCATCATCAATATCATCATCAGCAGCATCATCAGCATCATCATTGTCAGCAGCAGCATCATCAGCATGATCATTCTCAGCATCATCATCATCATCATCTTCTGCATCAGCATCATCATCAGCAACAGCATCATCATCACAATCAGCAGCATCATCATCATCAACATCCTCATCATCATCAGCATCATCATCAGCATTATCATCAGCATCGTCATCATCATCATCATAATAATCATCATCAGCAGCATCGTCGTCATCGTCAGCATCATCATCATCAGTATCAGCATAAGTATCAGCATCATTATCATCAGCATCATCATCAGCATCAGCAGCAGCATCGTCATGATCATCAGCAGCATCAGCATCATCATCATCATCGTATCAACAGCAGCATCATCAGCATCGCATCAGCATCATCATCATCCTCATTGTCATCCTCGTCCTACTCCTCCTCATCCTCATCAGCATCATCGACATCATCATCATCATCGTCATCATCATCATCATCATCATCATCGTCGTTCTCCTCCGCATCATTTCCCTCCTGATCCTCTTCATCGTCCTGATTATCCTGGTCCTCTTCCACACACTGATCATCCTCCACCTCCTAGATGGGAAAGCCGGCTTGCAGGGAGCGAGGACGAAAACGGGGATAGGAGGAGAGGAAGGAGGAGAGGAAGGAGGAGAGGAAGGAGGACGGACGGAGAGGGCGAGCAGGAGGTGGAGGAAGAGGGATGACGATGAGCACGAGGGGGCATGATCGAACGCCCCAGCCCTCCACCGCCAAAGATACACGCACACCGATCCTCGCCAGTCCCCATCCTGAAACCACGATCGGTGCATTCAACTCCCTGGCCTGGCCAGGAAGACGCACACACCTGTCATGAGCTCAGGCTGGACCTGGGAAAATCGGTGCACCTGACGGTACACTACGGCCCCGGTGATCAGCGTAGGTGCACAGAGGCGGCGGGCACGAGACGGTGGCCCGACGGGGGCGGCCTCTCAAAGAAGGCAGGAGGCTTTTGTTCAAAGAAGGCGGGGGGGTATTGGAAGCCCTCCCAGAAGCAAAGAAGCCTTCTTAAAGGGCTACGGGCACTGTCCCAAAGAACCCTCCCTGTCTTTCCGAGCAAGAGCCGCACTCTCAGAACGCCGCACCCCCTCACATCACCCCCATTGTGTGCCGCTGTATTTATATATATATATATATATATAGCCATGCATAAAAAACGTGTTTATACGAGCACACATAAAAAACATATACATATAAATATACATAAACACATACCTATGCATCTACATTTACATATACATGCACGTACACATATACATATACATATGCATATATATATATGCAAATACAGATGCATATACAATGGTATATACATTTACAAATACATATGCATAGGCATGTACATATGCATATGCATATGCATATACATATACATATACATATACATATACATATACATATACATATACATATATGTGTATACGTATACATATACGTATACGTAAACAATGCATATATATATATACATATACATACATATACCTACACATATACCTATACATACATAGACATAGACATAGACATATACATATACGTATACATATACATGTACATACACATGTACATATACATAGACATACACAGATATATATATATATATATATACATATATATATACATTTACATATACATATACCCATACATATATATATATATGTACATAGACATAGACATGTACATATGCGTGAACATATACATATGCATATTCATATACATATACGTATACATGTACATGTACATGTACATGTACCCATACATGTACATGTACATATGCATATACATATACAAATACATATACAAATTCATATTCATATGCATATACATATGGAGACATATAGCTATACATTTACATATACATAGACATAGACATAGAAATATACATATGTATATATATATATACATCTACATATACACATACATATACATATACATATACATATACATATACATATACCTATGTCTATACCTAAACACCTTTACCTTTTTATATGCAGATACGTGCGCATAAACATATGCATAGACAGATATATATATATATACATATCCCTACACAAATACATGTGCATATGCAAATACATATGCATATGCATATACATACACATATACATATACATATACATATGCATATACATATGCTTCAACATATACATATACATGCACAGGTATATACAAACATGTACGAATACATATGCATATTCGTATACATATACACATACATATCTATATATATATACATACACATACAAATATACATATACAAATATATGCGTATACAAAGACATAGACATATACAAGTACATAAACAAATGCATAAACACATACATTGACCTATACATATACATAAACATAAACATATACATATCAATATATATATGTATGTATATATGTACATAAACAGCTCCATATTCATGTGCAGATGCATATACATGCACGTAAACGTATACATGTACGTAGAGAAACATATACATATACACGTACCTAAACATGTACATATACATAAACGAGAACATATATATACACATATACATCCATATACACATACAGATAAATATACTCATACGTATACATACGCTCGTAATCATATTTGTTATTACCCAACCCCCCCTCAGAAACTGAACCGTCCCCCCAGGGACGCCCTGGACGCCCTTTCGGACGTTTCGGCGGCCCCCGAGACGACCTTGGAAAGATCCGCTGGCCTTTCCGGGCCTCCCAGGGCGCCTTGCCGGGCCTTGCGAGCAGACTCAAGGCGATCAGAGGGGTCATCGGAAAGGCGCAAGACACTGAAGGAAGCAAAAGAGCGCTGCTCCAAGAGGAACCTCGATGGCCTGATGACAGCCCAAGAGGCCCCCAAGACGCCCCAAGAGGCCGTTAAGAGAGCCCCGAAGAAGCCAAAATCGTCCCATTCCCTAGGGAAAACGTGTGATGTTTAGCATATCCTCTTGTTGGGTCTTCGCAGCGTTTAAGACGGCCCGAAAAGCCCCCGATATCGCCGCAAGACGGCCCAACAGGCCCCCCAGAAGGTTTGAAGACGGCACAAAAAGGCTCCAAGACTGCCCCAGAAAGCCCCGGCACTGCCCATAAGAAGCCCAAGATGCCCACAGAAGTCTCTCCCAAGAGAAACCCCGGAAAGCCATGGGAGACCCCCAAGAAGGTCATAGGAAGCCCCGAAAAGGGCCCTAG